CGTGTGTTGTTGATGATCATTATCTTCGTTTTGCAAAGGTGGAGATTGTCCACCTTTACCACTACTTCCTTCTTCACTTTCTTCTTCAGTCCCGTTGATTGAATTTTCCGAGTAGAGTATTTGTTCAGAAACTGGTATTAATGATGATCTCTGATCACCATTAATATTATTACTAGAGAATTCTGCAGCATCATATTCCGGATTTTCTTCGTCATCTTCATCGTCTTCTGCTGCAGCAGAATTATTGATACTGTTGTGGTTCAGGTGGTGGTTGCCGTTTGAATTGTTGTGGTTTGTAGAAGTGTGTGCATCTTTGGGACGCTGTCGAGCGTTTTTTCGTTGAGTTTTGACCCAATTACGCAATTTACTGAAGCCATGAATTATTGTTTTTTTTGTCAGTAACAAAAAATTAATTTTGTTTTATTGTATTACAGATAGTTCATGAGATGTGAGGTGAAAATTACCTTACAAACGGGACCACCATATAAAATCTACTACTTCCGTATTTAACACACCCACCACCGCAATTATAAGGTGACTCTTTATCTTTGCTACGGATCCATGTGGGTAACTCGGATAACTTGTGCCATTCGATTTTCTGTTACCATGTATTATTAAGCTAATCAATTAATAAAAAGTCATATAGCATCATGCACCTTATCAAATACAAGCGTTTATACGCGTACTTACACTAATTTCTTTTCTAGTTCTTGGACAGAATTCTGTATCTCGTGGCACTCCGACCACTATGTACAATCGTATTCGTTGTTCGCGTATTGTTATCTCTACGTAGTCTTTTTCTTTTATGAGTGGGGATATGTCATATCCTGTTTCTTCTAATACCTAGAAATTTTAATATCATATTTAAGCAAAAGCAGGTCAAATTCACATTGAGGAATGAACACTTTCTATATTAATTATATTCCACAGTTTTATAAATTAATAATAACAATAAAGAGGATCACAAGTGAATAACAAAAAAAAAACAAACCTCTCGTGCGGCACATATAGTATCCGGCTCATCGTAATTTATTTTTCCTTTTGGAAATCCCCAGCCTGATCGTGACGACCATCCTTTTACTAATACACACTATTATCATTATTCATATTGTAATGATAATAAAAACGAATATAACATATGATGAAGTATTATTATTAGGTTATATGCGCGCGTAATTAATAAGGTGTGAAAATTTTAGAATAGAAAATGACGATGTAGTAGGAAAGAACGAAAACATACCTGGTCCATCGATTCATTTAACATTATTGCCCCACACACGGGGACTCTTATTTTATATTGCATAAAGTCGCTGAAAGCTTTTTCGTGCTCGTTCGACCATTGATGTAATAGTGGACAATGCTGAAAGAGTGTGAACACGAGTTAAGGAAATAAATTGTGACCATATCAAATATCTTGAATTAATAATTAAAATTGAATTATATCTATATATATAAAAATGACCCCTCGAAAAACCAACCCACAAAACATCATGATACATGGAGTCAGAGATATAAAAAAAAAGGATATACTTTGCGGAAAAGTTTTTTAACGAGAAACTCGGTAAATTTGGGTTCTGCTCTCGTACAAAGTCCTCGTAAAACCAATGTGCCTGTTCTATTTGAAAACATATTCTTTCTACGGAGGCTAGTTCTTCTTCTGGTACATTTATAATAAATCGACTTTTTTAATGAAAAACAAACAAAAATAAGATTAATTTATTTTGACCGAGTATTTTCTGTATTGGCACAGCCAACATAAAATCGACGCGCTTTTTGGTATATATATGTATTTTTTTTTTAAAAAAAAAAATCAACGATAAAACAAAAAATATGCTAATATACCTTGATAAGTCGTCCAAAATTTCTGTAAAGGTTGCATTAGTCAATGCCATTATTATTATTGTATTTACTATTATTACAACTAATTTTTGTGTGTATTATTTTTTATTTTTTATTTGAGGTTGTCTACGGGAAACAGTGAATAAAAGTAGATGACTAGTAAACGAAAATGTTGCTCTTTCTTTTTCGTTCTTGTTCTTAGTAGTGTGAGACTGTTAATTAGTATTAGGAAAAAAAGGCTCTAGTTTTTTTTTGGTGACAAATAATAAGACTAAAGTTGTTGTTTCAACTTTTTATTTTTGCTGCTCAGTCGTTCTGTTGTCCTTGAGGTGCTCAAGCGCGTTATTTCAGGAAAGCTTTTGCACTCTTTGATTCTTTTAGAGAATTCTCTCGGTTTGAATAACAGGAAGGCGTATATTTTTGTAAAGTGGTGAGGTTTGATGACTATACAGGAAAAATAGCACAATGATGAATAATTGAATAATGATGATGATGCAGTGTCTCGTTTTTTTTGGCTGTTCATCAAACAATAATGATAGGTGATTTACTCATGATCCGGATTAAATTTTGATTTACCGGATCATATGTCATTGATTAACGTCAAATTTTTTTTCACACACTAAACCTTATTTTCACACACTAATGCTAACATAACATGGCAAATGCTATCTTCCTTTGCCTTCTCTTATTTATTGAAGGATATTGTTGGGCTGGTACGTCGTTTTTTATTTTTGCCCAAATTTTTTTTGCTCGTTTTTTTTCCTGCTTTTTTTTAAACTTTTAAAACCCTAAAATATTATCTGGTCCATTACAGCTAATCACAACATGCTCATCACTTCGCATGACGCTGTTATATCCGCCTTGAAATCAAGTCAAGTAATTCCTGATGGTTTGTTTTCTCGATAACTTTATTACATTGACTGAAATTTAATGACCAAAAAATTTTATTTTCTCAATGAAAATAAAAAAAAGTTCTTGATGATTTTCGTGTCTCTGGAATATTGAAGCCTAGTTATGGCGAAAGCAAAGACGATGATGCTGACAATCCACTCGATGTGAATCTTGGAAATGAATTGACTCCCAACGGTGATTTTGTCATTCAATCAGAATTATGTAATCACTTAACTTGTTACGTGTATGACTTATTATTATATTTGATTATCAATGATGCTAAGATACCGCGAAAGCTCCCAAAGTTTGGTTTGCGACTGATGAACCGGATTCTGAAGATCAATTTGCATTGGTGATGGTACGGCATTTACTTGTTTACAAACTTTTTTAATCTCAATGAAATTTAAAAATCCAAATATGTTTAGGTTGATCCGGATGCCCCTAGTCGTGCAAATCCGACAAACCGTGAATTTCGTCATTGGGCTGTTGGAAATATTCCTGGTATATATCTACATTCTCCCTTTATATAAATCCCAAAAACCAAAATTAAATTTAGAAATTACTATCTCGCATCGAGAGAGATTCGACATACAATGTTAATAATTAATTGCTTTATATAGCAAACGCAAACTTGGACAAAGCCACTACACTGACCCCCTACTATCCACCAACGCCACCAGCTGGCTCAGGAAAACATCGATACGTATTTGTGTTGTTCAAACAGCCGCAACGCGATATCCAGTATAATCTGCCGGAAGCACGATCGAACTTCAATACGCGTGAATTTGCAAAAAATTATAAGTTGAAGATTATTACTGCGAATTTCTTTTACTGTGAGAATAGCGGATGAATTGTTAAACAATTGGATTGAGTTTAATAAGGGGTGTCTCATTTATCATGTAATACTTGATAATCAATAGTCCTACAAGCGTGAAAAATTATACAATGATTATTTTCATATGATCGGGAACAAATAACGTGATCTGTGTTCGTTTAATCAAATTTGATTGGTCGAATATGAGACACGTGAAAACGTGTCAACATTTTATTGGTTATTGCATTTGTAATTGTTGTCAGCGGACCTGGCTGAATGGAATCGAGTAATAGAAAACGGTAGTATGAAATTCTACCCCAGCCACGGCAAAAAAAATGTGTCGGATCATGTGATTCTTAAGGGGTATACCAATCAAATCGCAAGATCAATGTGTAATGGAAAAAATTCAAAACAAACGTTTTATTTTTTGAAAAATAGCTCTTGAAATTTTTTCTAACAAAAAATGTTCCTTGCAAAATTTTGTTTTATAGTGGTGCTTTATAATATTATAAAGTCACGTGTATCGTTACACATTGACCTTGCGATTTGGTTTACCCCTTAAAAAATCACATGATCCGACACTTTTTTTTGCCGTGGCTAGGGTATTAGTAGTTCATGAGTCACGTAATAATATTCACGACATTATCGATCTCGTGATTAGTGAAATTTTCAGAGTTTACTTTTAATGATTTTTATAATTTATAAGATCTGGATAAGAATAACGGTTAGGGCAAAGAACAATATGTTAATATTATATGTTAATATTATATGTTAATATTATATGTAATATTATATGTAAAATCACAGTTCCAATAATTTTAATTAATATTCCAAGACAGATTTAGACATTGATTTTTGAATAATATTTATTTTTTATATCTTGTATCAGATTTGTTTTGCCAAATTGATCAAAAAATTTGTGTATTCCTATTAAAATATGAATCATATGATGAATTATACTTTAATTGATTTCCAGAATTAGTAATATTTGCAAATATATGTTCTGAATATATTCAAAATCTATTACAAATTCTATAATTCAAATAAAAATAAAATTTATTATTATTTTAATAATAAGAAAATATATTTCTTTATTATTAATCTTGCTTAAAGTATATATTAGAAATTATAAAATATTAATATTATTAAAAATTTTTTTACAAATATATATTTATTTTTTTATATTTACAAAAATATACTTGTTTTATATATAAATAAATTCTATAAAGAAGTATTTCTTTATATAATAAAATATAATATATTATAACAAAAACTTCATATCATATCAGTGGTGTTGAACACCATGTCTGGTGATCTGATATAATTGGCTAGAATTATAGATACAAATTATCACGTGATATTAATAATGTGATCATATGTGATTGGCCAACTTTCTTCACACCACTTTTATTTATTAGTAATCTATACATTACTTTTCATTACTTTTTTACATCACGCTATACATAGCACTGTGATTCTTTCCCATGATTTCTCTCAGATTTCTTTTCCTTCCAAAGGCAGTAATAATACCCCCCTTGAGGTGCCGTTAGATGAAGCGAATGGAGTACTATCAGAGTTATTTGAACATAATAGTATTAATAGCCTCATCCTAACTGAAAATCCTGAAGATATCTTACCTAACGAGTTTTTTGAAGATGATAACGAATTTTTTGAAGATGATAATAGACCACTTTATCTGATAGCACCAGAGATGTCATTTGATACTTGAACAAAATTGGATAAGTATGTAGTGCCTGAGATATTATGATCTTAAATTAATCTAAATTACTTTTAATTTCAAGATGAGTTGAAAACTATGAACTAGAACAAGGCTTTGCATTTACAATAACTCATAGTGAAAAGGATAAGAAGGATAAATTACCCAGATAACGTATTTACGCATACTCGCGAGATCAGAAATATATATCCAGAAAAGAAGCACATACAAAAGAAAGCTGTAATAAAGGACATAATTCTATCAACTGCAAATTTTGTGTTAATACCTACCATCAGAAGAATGACAATCTAATTTATATCACAAAGGTTGAAAATCAACATAATCATGAACTTGTGGAAAATATTTTTACTCTCGCATCCAGTTATTGAAGGTTTATTCCAAAAATGTGTGATGATATTTGGTTACTTGCTGCATGTAGTGTACACTCTGATATAATTATTGAAGTTTTGCAGCACAAAAATCCAGGAAAATATATCCACGATCATAATATTTATAATTTAGTTAATTCTATTTGCCACAAAAAAAATTATGTTAAAAGTGATGCTAGGTCAATATATCTTGATCTTATGAAATAGCAGCATAAAAATTCAGCTTTTCATGTTGATGCACAATTTGAAAACCAAGATAATCATTTTATTCAGCTCTGCTAGATGCATTCAAGTCAACAAGTACTGTGGTCACATTTCCATGATATCATTCTTCTCAATACAACTGCTAAAACAAATCATTATTCAATAATTTTGTGCGTTATTATTATTATCGACAATCACAATCACTCTCATCTTATAGCAATAGCCATTCTTTCAGATAAAATCAAGAATAGCTTTGAATAGTTATTTCAAAGTCTTCTTAATGTGATAGATAGATTAATGCTACATTTACTTTATATGGATGCCAATCCGGTGATAGTTACCACAGTAAATGGTTTCTGGCCAAAAACCAAATACCACTTTTGTTTATTTTATATTCAAAAGAATTTGGAAAAGTATTTTTTGGGTAAATATCATGGTGAAAAGTGAAACAAATTTTTTGCAGTATTTTGTCATGCATGAAATAGCCATGTAAAATCAATTTTTGAAGAAAGATGAACCAAACTATTATTTGAATATGATGATGCTGCCAATTACTTGCAATATCAGCTTTACTATTATCAAGAAGTCTGGGTTCTGTGCTTTATGCATCATGCATTTAATGCAGATGTATAAAACATCTAATATGTCAAATCATATAATAGGATTATTAAAAATTACATAAATGAAATTTCTTCTCTTATAGAATTCAAATCTGTAATTGAAAGGCTATTGATAAAAGAAAGCCAGTTTATTAAGTTAAATGAGATTATGAGTAAGCTTCCTGTAAGTCAAGATGAGAACTATCATAACTATTACTTCAAAAGTGTCAATATATTCAGTCAATATTATTTAACATCAGCAATTCTTAAGCTGTAATATCATGAGATGAACCATAATATGCATTACCAATATCAGATAACTAGTTTGAAGGATGAGCTTAGAAAATGGGTATGAGTTTCTTGATTATTTATTTATTAAGCCTTTTTCTTTATTCTTCCTGCTAAAGATTATTTTTTGATCCTTGATAGGTTGTATCGAATTCATCAAAAGACATGTTTTCAGAGGATTTATTTAATGTCTGTGTAATCAAACTTGACCAGTTAATTACAGATCTTGATCTGGCAAGAATTCATAAACTTTAGCACGTACCCTCTATTAATAAAAGAAGTAAATATTTCATAATATTATATGATAATGCAGCATATCTTTGTATGTACCTAATATTAATCAATCATAATTTTGTATATCACTATTTTTTTGCGGTAATATTAGTTTCCCCAGTTGCTAGATTTTATATTGGACTTGTACCACAATATTGACATACAGATTCATTAGTTATGGATAGAAATTTAAGTTTTTATCATGAGCCAGCTATTTCAGTAACTTTGGATTAGGAATTTAATACAGTCAAGCATGTTACTGAAGTTAATTTTTTGCATCTAGATACTATCTGGGGCAACTATGTCTTTACTAAAAAGGTTTGTGAAGAGATGATTCAAAAATAACAATATGAAAGAGGATTTGGAATCATGAAGAAAACACTTAATTTGGCTATTGTAACAGGAAGAACAGAAGAGCTTTACAAAATTTATTTAAAGTTAGCCAAGAAAATAGAGACTGAAATTGTTAGTCAAGTTAAGAACAATAATGATATTATCAAGTTTGCTTCTACTATTAATAATCTCATCAGTATCAAGACGAAAGGTCAGAAGCCTAAAGGTTTTGATCATATGAATGCAAATTGTAAAGAAAAAAAAGAGAGATGTTTGAACCTGATCAAAATGACAAAGAAAATATTATTGATGATGGAAATCATAAGGAATTGCCATATAAAAAGCTTCAAAAAATATTACAAGATAATGGATCAAATGAATTAACAAATAGTGAATCTAGCAATAAGAGAACATGCAGAATTTGTAATGAAAAAGGATACAATTCATGAATGTATTCAGCAAAAGAGAAGATCACTGCCAATTAATTTTAAGACCAGTGAGAAGGTTGGAAAAGGTCATTTTTTATTCAAAAAATTTTATTTTTTAAAGGCAAAAACAAAAGATTG